ATGGCCTTGAGGAAGGGCTTGAGGACCACCAAGATCTGGGAGACAGTATCCCACTCAGCTCTATTAAGGGGACAACTGATCCTAATCTCCTTGACCAAGGCCATCTCATGGATGGCCTTCTGTTGCTCTTCCAGCCTTTGCAGCATCAGGTGTTTGGAGTTCCACCAAGTCTCCACATCCTGCACGATTTTGTGCTGTGGGATGTTCAGCTCTGCCTGTTTCTCCCACAGCATCTTGGCCCCGTTGATGCTGTGGTGGAAGTAGCCTGCCACCTTCCTGCATTTGGAAATCAGCGCAGTGGTTGTGATGGCACCATCGCTGGCAACCCTGTTCCCCTTTCAGGCGTCCTTGACTATAAGCTTATGTGCCACACAGCAGATGCCAACCAAGTTGGCATCATGGATGTCCTTGACCATATTGACCCCTTTGTCAGTGACCATGAACCCATGGGTGAGCTTGCCCTTCCCAGTGAGCTATCCCTGCACCATGTGGTTCATGGCCACCATGATCTGTCTTGCCGTGTGGGACTCATCCATCACCTGAGCTTGAAGAAACACCCACCGACACCCTGACTGATTGCACCAGCACCCTGTGAGGGAGAGGTAGGCATGATCACCACCCCAGCTGCTCCAAATGTTGGAGGTGAAGTGCGGCCCTGCCTTGTGCAGCTCCTTCCTCAAGTATTCCCTGTATGCCTCATACAGGAAGGGCACCACCGCCCTGCTAAAGGTGGTGCATGCAGGCACTTGGTAGGATGGGGCCACAAGCGCCATGAGCCGCCTGACCCTGGCTGTTCAACAAAGGAGAAGGGCTGGCCATCCAGAGCAAGCATCTCCCCCGTGCTCTGGGTGACCTGGCTTGCCCTTGCAATGCACTGCCCTTTGCCTGTGGCTTTCCTCCACCGCTCCAGGGTGGTCTGCCTCTGCTTTGGAGGGACAGGGGCTTTGTAGTGAGTGAGGGACTTCCTTTTGGGTACACTCTCACTAGTGCCAGGCTGAGGAGGAAGAAAGGCAAAGGGATGCTGCCTCCTGAGATGCAGCAGCATTGCTGTGGTGGTGAAGTGTTTCACCTCCTTGCCCTGGCTGATCTGCCTTTGGCAGTGTTGGCAGATAGCATACTTGGGATCATCTGCCACCTCAAAATGATCCCACACTACATTACTCCCCCACTTCTGGGTTAAGGGTAGGGATCTTGCCCTATCCCCCTCCTCAGCAGGCAGAGGCACAACAACAGGAGGAGCTGACTCAGCTGAGCCACTTGCCTCCACAACCTCCTCTGAGTTGCCTTCCTGACAAGGAGACCTGGGTCTAGGGGAACTTTGAGGGGTGTGGAGCACAAACTCAGATTCTCCCTAAGTCTCCAGAATTTCTTTAGCTAGGGTGCTCAGGTCCCCTGGTTCCAGATCCAGCTCCTCCTCTGGCAGTGGGAGGCTCATGCTGGGAGATGAAACTGGGGTGGAGGAGACTGTCATTCTGCTGCTGGTGCCTATTTCTGGAGTTAGAAGTCGTGCAGGTGCAGGGACAGGTACTGCTCCCACCTCCTTGCTTCTGCTGGCAGCCAAAGACTCATGGCTGCCAGGAAAGAGGATGCATCTTTGTTGTGAGGGGAAGGGGGGAACTTGCAGCTCTAGCTCTTCCCCTACTCCCTCTAACCCTTCTCCCTCCCCTGCCAGAAGACCTGGCACCTGACTTTCCAGCATGCTTCATGTTAGTCTTTCCTGTGCTGGAAAATGTGTCTGTGTGTGTGTGTAACTAACTAATAATATATGTCATCTTCTTCTCTGATGTATGACTGTGTCTAACTTCTTCTGCTGTGTTGTGTTTACTCGTGTGTATGTAACTAAAATAATATCTCCTCTTCTTCTGTCTGACTTCTGTGTTGTGTTAATCTGAATCTCTATCTGACTTCCTCTGTGTTGCCTTTAGTCTATATGTAACTATAACTAATAATAATTATATATAGTCTCTTCTTCTATGAATGTCTGACTTCTTCCATGTTGTAATAATATCTGACTTCTTCTATGATGTATGTGTGTGAATGTATGTGTGTAAGTGTAATGTATGGGTTTCCTTGCACAGTGATGGATTACACTGCCAGGAAAAACACAGCTTTTTAAAAAAGTGTTGGGGAAAAAAAGAACAAATATAAATTGAAAGAAATGGATTGGATAGGGATAAGTAGAGGGATTCTAGTTGGTGAGCTGTATCCATTCCTTTCCAAGGACAGAAAGTAGCAGGAAACTAACTAGGTAGGAAGCCAAGCCAGTCCAGTACCTTTCAGATGCTGTAGCTCAGGCAGAAACAGCTCACAAAAGGCACAGAAAGCCTGCAGACAGAGGCTTATATACTGTTTCTATGTCCCTCTCCCTGTGATTGGAAGGGGACTCAGGGAAAGATCACATTCAGTGGCCAGGTACAGATGCCAGTCTTTTCCCCCCTGCTCTCCCTCCCTCTTCTCAGTTGGTGATGCGTAGGGGTGCATGCAGGTGCACCTGCACCCCCTGTGTGTGCTGGTGCACCCCTTGTGAAAAGGTGCTGCCAACACTGTCAACAGTGCCTGCAGGCGTTGCTGCTTGCCATCCCCCCCTTGTTGCTGACACCACCAGCGGTGTCTGCGGGTGGTCTGCAGTTGCCACTGGCTGCTGCTGCCAGCAGTGTCTGTGGGTGGTCGCTGACCACTGGCCAGCGCTAACCACCTGCCTCCCCCCATCAACACCACTGCAGCTGCCTGAAGGAGTTCCCCACTTGCTTCTGCCACACTCCTGTCGCCGGCAGCAGTGCTACCTGTGGGAGCTCGCCAAGCTCGCCCCCCAGCCTCTGGGGGCACGTGGAGTTCATGCCTGAAAGACTGTCTTCCAAATCTCTGAATCTTTCTGAAATCGATTCAGAGGTTTTTTTCTTTTCCCGATTTGATTCGGATTCAGTGATTCGGCCTTCGAATTGGGCCAAATTTTCTCTGAATTGAATTGCGGACGAAAGCTTCGCGCACCCCTAGTGGGTAACGCTCTGCAAGCTTCACTAGAAGCACAGATGCGTCTGCATGCCCTGCTTCTAAATCTTGTACTCTCTAGGCTGGCCACCTAGTGCATAGTACTGAGCAACGGCTTTTGGTAACTATAACAGAGAGAGAGAGAGAGTGAGTGAGTGAGTGAGTGAGTGAGGGAGTGAGTGAGTGAGTGAGTGAGTGAGGGAGTGAGTGAGTGAGTGAGTGAGTGAGGGAGTGAGTGAGTGAGTGAGTGAGTGAGGGAGTGAGTGAGTGAGTGAGTGAGTGAGGGAGTGAGTGAGTGAGTGAGTGAGTGAGGGAGTGAGTGAGTGAGTGAGTGAGTGAGGGAGTGAGTGAGTGAGTGAGTGAGTGAGGGAGTGAGTGAGTGAGTGAGTGAGTGAGGGAGTGAGTGAGTGAGTGAGTGAGTGAGGGAGTGAGTGAGTGAGTGAGTGAGTGAGGGAGTGAGTGAGTGAGTGAGTGAGTGAGGGAGTGAGTGAGTGAGTGAGTGAGTGAGCGAGTGAGTGAGTGAGTGAGTGTGTGTGTGTGTGTGTGTGTGTGTGTGTGTGCGCTCTTTTGAATATCTTGATAAAAAACATGGCATCTTGCCTCATTCCCCTCATAAGGGCTCACTCATCATTTGAGCTAATTGGTAATCTGTGCAACAAGACCTCCTGCCAGCCAGGACTGCTCTGACCCAGCTCAATGTGCTGCAGTCCCAAGTGCGTTTAAATGTGGTGCCCAGGAGCAATAAACTCTGATGTGATGTGCACCAGTGTTTATTATGTCTCATTAATTGCATGTATAGATGTGCCCACTGACTTCAAAAAGAGCAGAAGCAGACTGTCTATACAGCTTCTAAAAATCCTACATTTGAACAGCTCAGAGGGCAGGTGAGGTTGTCTGGAATTTCTCTGCTTTCAATCCAAAAAATGCACCTGGAGGAGTCTGAGGCATGACAGTCTTTTCCAGTACTCTGTATGAAATAGTCTCTCTTCAGCCTGCTCTTCTGAAACCCTCAGCTGCTGTGTTCTGCATATGGTACAGGGCCTTTCTTAATGGACAATTTCCATTCTTCCCATGTTTTATTTTCCCTTCTCTCCTCCCTCTTTTATCACCTACTCTGCTGTTTGGATCATTTTTTCCTGCATTTTACACCTGGGTCAGCCTAGTTTGAAAGCAAAAGAATTGTATCATATTCTTAACCCTGTCCAAGATATATGACTGGGAGATGGAGTCTTAACCAAAACCAAAACTGAAGCAAACACAGTATGCCTGGATGTCAGCTTTCCTACAAAGCAGATGGAGGTTCTGCCACAATCAGAGCTCACACCTTCCCCTCACCATGCGAGGTAGCAGGCAGCGTGCATGCGATCAATGTCCTGGATGCCAAAGAAGGAAAAAGAGAAAGTTGAATCCTTGTACTTGGATCGCAGGAAAACTAGAGTCCTGACAGTATTACATTTGGGTCACTTACCTCAGCAGCTGTAATTTTCAGATGAATGCAGCCTTCATTCAAGGGGGCTGATAATGAGGCAAATCCAGGTACGAAGACTGGATTTTTAACAGACTGGCTGCAGGAAGATTTGGGAGAGTCTGTGCTGAGATTCTGTATCCTTGAATACCATGAAATCCATCCCCAGAGGGGCTCTGTTCATTTTCTCTCAAGATTTGGAAGAAAAGCTGGGCTTGACCTTCCTCTATTTACAACAACCAGTCATAGCCCATCAGAGAACAGGGTCCCAACAGCCACAGCTTCTACAGTGTCAAGGCTGAAGTAGCACTGAGTGCTTTCCCATGGCCTGGGAAAGCTGCGAATGTCCTTTTTCCCCATTCTAACCCCAGGAAGCACCTTGCTTATTTCAGGTAGGGTGTGGGGAGGAAGATTGGTCTTGACCTGTTTATATGAGACTGAGAGGACTCACATGCCAGGCCAACAAATTTAACCAATGTCCCATTCAAGTGAGCAGACACTTTAAGAGCAGCATCCCAAATTCTGCGGATAAAAGCTGGGACTCTGACACAGTACACATTTTATTGTTAAAAAAGCATAAAAACTAATGACATGCTTCCAAGAGTTAGAGTGATATGTACATCTGCCCTCCCCAGGAGGCTGCACGGAGCTTAGCCTTCAGCCCTTACAACAAAACACGCACCCCTGCACAGGCTTTGTGGTAAAACAATACTCCTTGTTAAGTGTTATTTTTTCACCTGTGCCCTGGGTTTTCTTGTAAACTGGATTAAAAAATTGAGATTATCTGGTGTATAAGATGGTGCATGTCATACTAATGACTGAGATACTGTTCAATACTTCTGGGAGGCATCACTAGGGCATCGTTGCTTTTGGGTTTCAGTTTAAGTAGATTTAAAAATATGACAGAGAAAAGCTCTAGCCAAACCCTCAGATCCAAACTACCCCAAGCTTTGAGTGCTCTAAACCAGGGGTTGTCAACCGGGGATATGCATACCCCCAGGGGTACTTGAGAAGGCCCAGAGGGTACACATGGATTGGCGGGGATGGAGCACCACCATGCAGCATCCTGCGCTGTCGTGCAGGCACCACCCACCCAGCTGGACATGGGGGGAGCAAGGGAAGCTCACACGCGGCAGCTACTGCTGCTCCACATTCAGCCACGCGCAACCCGTCCCCCCCTTCCTCCCCGGCATCTGGCTGCCAGGGGTACACTGCTCCATGTCTGGCCGCCGGGGATACAATGATCCGAGAAGGTTGAAAACTCCTGCTCTACACCAGCAGTCAGCAAAGTTTCAGAACTGCAGGCCAGAATGACCTGGCTTGGGTCTGAAGTGGGCTGGTGTTCCCACCTGATCAATGCCATTGCTTCTCCCCAACACCTTGCTGTGGCACTGGTGCAGGTCCCAGCTGCTCAACCCCAGTTCAGCTCCTTGCTGCCTGGCCCCAGCATGCCGCTGAAGCCCCCTTGATTTGTGGACTATATGTTGCTGATCTCTGCTCTAAAAACTGATTCAAAGCAGATCCAAATTTTGGAGTCTATCCCCATCTTTACAATGGGCTGAATGAAAATCTTGGACACCAAAGTTTGGACTGTTCACTTCCCAGATCTGCATTCAAATTATGCACCTTGCTCCCATCATTATCAAGTCATTAAAAATATAAACTGAATTTTGCAGCATTCATTCCCAGGGAAGAGCAACATAGAACCTTAAGTCGCATGAACCTGTGGAAGTCTTCAGAATGCAGGAAATTAAGAGAAAAAAATCAAGGCCTAGTAAACATTCAGATAACCCGGGTAAGGTGTACTGCAGTTTCCCTGCAAGTATTGGGAAACCCTGCACGAAAACACTCACTGATTTACATTAAAATATTAAATTATTAAAAACATACATAAACCCTTTGCAATTATAATGGTCAGACATGCCAATTTGAGGGAAGAAAACCTCATAGAGTTAAAATACAACTTTCTCCCTGCCTCGATGTTTGCAGTGATACTTGTGAATGCTCCAGTGTGGCTGATCTTTTACAAGACGCCAGAAGTCAGGAACGCCAGTGGTTCTCAAACATTTTTCATACTGAGGACTACTTTTTTAGATACAGCTCTCCCCCTTGTTGGCCCCTTTCCCACCAACATTGATCCCACACCCATTCTTCTGTGCCTTCAGTGTTTGGTGATGTGAAAAAATAATCAGGCAGTTAAAAAGATGATATTAATCTATTCTCCTTTAAAAGCAAATGCTGGAGCCTGCTCCCACTGAAGTCCACACTTGCTTACAGACCCTCATTCTCTATTTCCACTGTTTCTTTCCTCATCCTAAGTGTAGCACTTTACATTCATTAGTACTGTTTCCCCCATGGCTGCCGGCCCCACTCTGCACTACTCTCATTAGGTTTCTTTGCAGATGGATTCTGTTGTCATGCATGCCAGACCCCCCACTTCCATTTTTAATCTCAGCTGAAAGTTTGATCAGGGCTAAAATTAACAGGCGCACTGGGTAGAGAAAGGGGCTGGCTTTTTGTTGGTTTCAATTTAGTTGCTCACAAATGTGCCAGGAAAGTCTTAGAGAGCCTGGACTGGGCTGTGTCTAGTGACAAGTGTCACTGCTTGAAAATGCCAGATGTTTAATGTCTTGGCTGGATAAAAACAACTCTGCAGAACACAGCTTGAGAACCACTGAGGTAGGTGACAGGTCTAGACAGTACTGCTGAGTGAACACAAGGGGGCTTTTCTTCCCTTATGTCCTGAATGACTGTGTAAATTGCTAGTGCTTCTAGATGTACCAGTCCCAAACTCACACAACTGGAATGGAAAAAAAACACCCACAAAATAGTGAGCACTGATTGACTAGCAGGTACAGTACACTCTGTTCCAGCAGCCAATGAGAATTAGCTGAGCACAAGCTCTCATTGGCTGCCACTGCTCTGAAACCGCTCCCATCTGATGTGATCAACCTTTAATCCTACCCCCAACAAATCCAGAGGGTGAGTATGATTTGTGATCTTCCTGAGCTGTCCACAACTACAGCTCAAACAGATACTGGCAACTACTTGTGCTCCTTAGAAGCATCCCACCACTGGCTTTAAAAGCAGTGCAACATGGTAATACAGCTGAATACATCCCTTCTTGGGGAAATGGAGTGTCTTTTTCCTTACAGGCTAACAACTCTTTTCTCCTTCCAACTCCAGTTCATGCAGAAGGCTCCTGGCCTCCCCTTCAGCTGCATCTGAATGTCTTTCACCTTCAGCATCATTCCCAAGGCACAGAGGGCTCATGATGTAACGGTAGTTACTAGTGACAGCAGCAGCTGCTCCAGCAACATTCTCTTCATTGTCCAAATCTCCAAATGAAGTGTGCAGGGCAGGGTCACACCCAGAAGCCTCTTTGTCTGTCCCAATGTTGACATACAGAGGATCTTGACTGGAAGAGAGTGTAGACATTCTCCCCCGAATCATTTCCAGCTGTAATTTCAGCATAGCAAAGCTAGGTCTGAACTTGGGCTCAGGATGCCAGCATCTGCACATGAGATCATAGCTGCAATACAAACAAAATAAAAGAGAGCTGAAAACTATAGAAGCCATCTGCCTTCATTCTTAAAAACAGTCTGTGTTCAATGTAGACTGCCCACTAGTAAAGAGATTAGGAGCACTATCAGCAAACAAACATAATCCAATTCTTCACTCAGTGGCAGGTATGCAAATACAATGTAGGGCTTCATCACACCACTAATGCACTGGGCCATGATAGAATGATACAATTCTGCCTTACCTCCATGCAAGCAGTGAGGAGAATTCTGATATACAACCAAAAATCTCTGTATGCAAAATGAATCCCCAAGCAGCCAGATCTACAGAGGAGCCACTCAAAATTCGAAAGAGAAGGTTCACAGAATTTTTTCTGGGCAGAGGTTGGGTTAAGTGGATCAAAGACAGGGTGATGATAAGGAAGGGGCTATTTTAGCTTTGGTGTGTTAAGAGCCTTAGTATGGTTATTTGTTCAGTTTGAATCATAGGTATTTTTTTAAACTAGGCTGGATGTGTCACTACAGCACTAGAGCTATTTAGACATGTGCATTTTTGTCAATTGACAACTACAATTAAAACAAAAAAACCCACAAAACACTGTTCTCCAGAATCTACTCACAAAGGCCATTCTGCTCAAGTTTTGAACAGGGTAAGAGAACATGGCTTCTAATTTGAGGAAGAAAATCAAAGTCTAAGTCTCCTGACATGTTCCAAAATGTTTGCATTTTAAACAAAACAATTGCTGAGAAGAAGCAGGTTATTTATGATGCTTAAAACAAAATGAAAAAGGCCAATCAGACATAGGTGTTTTTTAATTAAAGTTTCATTTACTGATGCTGATTGGCACAAACCATGTAGAACAGTTAGTAATGGATTTTTTATCTGTTCATTAAAATGGGCATGTTTTATTATCTCAGCAACGGATAAGGAACATTATCTTTCCAAATTCTGATCTAATGCAGATGAAACTGTGAGAAAACAACAGAAGCCATGCTTTTAGTAGGCATGAGTTATTTCTAGTAAGAATAATAGAAGGTTCTCTCTAAATGCAGGGATGTAGTCAGGAAGGCCAAAGCACAATTGGAGTTGCAACTACCAAGGGATGCAAAGGGTAATGAGAGGTTTCTACAAGTATGTCAGTAACAAGAGGAATATCAGGGAAAGTGAGAATCTCTTACTGAATGGGTGAGGTAACCTTGTGACAGAGTATACAGGAAAAGCTGCAGTACTCAATGCCTTTTTCACCTTGGTCTTCACAGGCAAGGTCAGCTCCTACACTACTACAACTGGCAGCAGAGTTTAAGAAGGAGATAAGCAACCCTCAGTGGTGAAAGAACAGGTTAGGGACTACTTAGAAAAGCTGCACACATGTCCATGGGGCCGGATGGGATGCACTTGAGGGTGCTGAGGGAGTTGGCTGATGTGATTGCAGAGCCCCTGGACATAATCTTTGAAAACTCATGGCTATCAGGAGAGGTCCCAGATGACTGGAAAAGGGCAAACATAGTGCCCATATTTAAGAAAGGGAAAAAGGAGGATCAAGGGAACTACAGACCTGTCAGCCTCACCTCAGTCCCTGGAAAAATCATGGAGCAGATCCTCAAGGAATCCATTTCTAAGCACTTGGAGGAGAAGATAATGATTAGGAACAGTCAGCATGGATTCACTAGGGGCAAGTCATGCCTGACCAACCCGATTGCCTTCTATGATCAGATGACTGGCTCTGTGGATGCAGAGAGACCAGTGGATATGTTATACCTTGACTTTAGCAAGGCTTTTGATATGGTCTCCCACAACATTCTCGCAGGCAAGATAAGGAAGTATTGGCTGGATGAATGGACTGTAAGGTGGATAGAAAATTGACTGGATCATTGGGTTCAGAAGATAGTAATCAATGACTTTATGTCTAGTTGGCAGCTGGTATCAAGTGGACTGCCTCAGGGGTTGTTCCTTGGGCTGGTTCTGTTCAATGTCTTCATCAACAACCTGGAAGATGGCATAGAGTGCACCCTCAGTAAGTTTACAGATGATACCATACTGGGCACAGTAGTAGATACACTGAAGCGTAGTGCTAGGATTCAGAGAGACCTAGACAAATTGGAGGATTGGGCTAAAAGGAATCTCATGAGTGCAAGGATGAAAGAATCCCATGCATCAGTTCAGGTTGGGGACTGATTGGCTGGGCAGTAGCTCTGCAGAAACAGACTTGGGGGTAACAGTGGATAATAAGCTGAATATCAGCCAGCAGTATGCCCTTATTGCCAAGAAGGCTAATGGCATACTGGGCTGCATTGCTAAGAGTCGACAACTAGATCTTGACAGGTTACAGAGGTGGGTGGATGAGAATAGGATGGGTTTCAATACAGACAAGTGCAAGGTGTTGCACCTGGGGAGGAAGAACCAGCAGCATACCTACAGGCTGGGGAACT